GTTCTAGACTCTTTGCCAACATTTTGGACTAATTTTGGGAGCTTTCGTAAATCAAGAAATTTTGAACAAATGCGCACAGATACGAATAATATAGTAAAGTCTACTTAAGTAGTCTCTTTGTAGGGCTTATTTTGTGCTTTACGGTGGAATTACCATGCCGCTTCTGCAAATAACTGGAGTTCTGCCTGGTCTTTTATTAGTCACAAACGTCTGGTGCACCAGGGTAATGGGCTTAATAAACATTAAACTCGTGATCATTAACGATCACTTTAATCACTGCGTCACCTGCTCTCAAACACAATTATTAATATGTTGAAACAAAAGTAAAAATGAAGTCAAACTTTGAAATAACCTTGTAAACTTGCTGTTTCCATGCTGACGCATAGAAATAATAAATGCAATTTGTGGAATTGCAAAATTAAATCGATATTTTTTTTGCAAACAGAATCTTTCTCCAATTTGAATTCAAATGCATAAATTACGTCAAAAATATGGGCGTTTAGTTTTCTTTAACCTAATTGTTTAGTGCTCTCTTCATGGATAAATATTCGTTTTGCAATATAAATCAATGATTAATATCGATTAGATTTATTTAAAAAGAAATTCATGGAAAATAATGCTGAATATTACAAGAATTATTTTTTGTGAAACCTTGATATTATTTTTGTGAAATTAGTCAGATAAGGTATATTTTTATTGGTTGCTAACAAGTGATTTAAAAATGTAAATAATTTTAGTTAATTTTATGTCAAATATTCGAAAATGCAAGTACTTTATTTAAGTTGTGGCAATTTAAAAAGGTTTAGTTGGCACCATTGATAATTCCTACTTAAGCAAATGAAATTTTTTGTTTTTATTGAAGAATTCTAAAGGTTAAAATTGACGGAGTGCGCAGTGAAATTTTCATTTTCTCAAGAAAATTACTTAATATTTTGCGTTCATTATACAACAATAATTTTGCTATAAAATATTTAACATATTTATGACATTTATGTAATTAAGGCGAATTGAAATGAAATATACGAGTTATTAAAAAAGATATTTATTACATTAATACAGTATAATTTAGCAACTAGATTGGTTGTTAACTGACACCTCCCAATGCACTTAGCATTTCTTCAAAGTTCTTTGAAAGAAACTATAAACATTCTTCAAAATGTTTGAGAGCTAGAATTGACTAATTCTAGGGAGACCCGTCGGACATCTATCCAAGGATAAAAAATGTTACATTTCTTACCAGTGGTGTCAAAATTTGTTTGTAATTTCATTTAAGCAAATACTATCTATTCTGAGTAATTTAAAGTGTCATTGAAGTTCACAAGACTGTCAACAACAGCAAAATAATTTAAATAATCAAATCTTAAATTTTATGCGAGTTTGAGAGTACACTTAATCTCATTACTATTTTTCAGTAGCTTGTTGTGGTGAAAAAGTTCAAATCCTCTTTTGACTTTGTTTATAAATGTCACATTAGGAGAAATAATTTTCTAAGATCAAAATCTTAAAAAGGTTGAAGGGTAAAAATTTTACATTCCCGCTGAAAACAGCCTTTTGAAAATTTGGCAATTAATTGTAAGCGGGTGCAGTGCGAATTGGAACGAAATTTGTATCCCTTCACTCTGCTGATAAATTCTGCTTCCCATCAGCGGGAAACATTCTAAATTGTCGGAATTATCTGATTTATGGTGTCAAACAATTGTTCAACAAATTTTAGCAAGCGTGTTGATTATGCGGGTTTAAATAGTTAGATGGGTTAAATTAATTTCTTCAATAAATCTGATTTAGCTATGAAAGGCTGAGGTAAGGTGTTTGTTTTACTCCCAATATCAGACAACATTTCTAATCATGCAGCAAAGTCAACTCAAACATGAATTTTCAAATTTATTTCAAATTTTCCCATATTAGCCCGTTTTTGAATTATTTTAGCCTCTGCATATTTTGAGAAATCAATTTTTTGATATTTATTTGGCAAATTTACTTGGTGAAAAAGTTTGTTTTACTTATAAAATGAAATTAAATGCTAGAGGTCTTGACAGTGTCTAAATACACCAGAACGCTCTATTGAATAGAAATCGAGTAAAATTTGAGGAAAGTAGTCCATTCTCTCAATTTTGAAAGTCATTTTGAGCACATTAGAAGTGGATGAATTTAATCCTCACTTCACCAAATACCGAACTGTTTGGACGATATGTATTTCATTCAAATGTGTCTTGTTATAAGTATTAACGGTGAATCAAGTGATATCAATGAAGCGGAAAAATATGAGAAATAAACTAGGTCAAATTCTACTTAAGGGTGAAAAAAAGCGTTTGTCATTGTGATTTAAGCCACTTAATGACAAAATATCTCATCTTGCTTTTACATAACATAATAAAAGAAAACATTTCTAAACAGAACAAAGAAATTCAGGGAGAGAGAGAGGGGAGTGAAAAGCGGAAATGAAGAATTTCGCACCTTTTGATGACTCTAAAGAATAAACGAAATTATTCGGGTGGAATAAGACACTTATTCAAGCCTTTTCGTTCCCCATCTGCCGCCACCAATTCTCGCAACAAAGCTCTCTAGCAAAATTAAAAATTGACATAAAAAACATTGCTAACAGTTTTCAATGCTTTGAGAACCTAAAGCAAGACTGATTTATAAGCTTCCTATCAGACGGTCACGCGTTTCATTACTTCTTCAAACGTCTAATTTGCCAAGCTTGTAGTGATTTTTCCCACATTCTCCGACAAAACGACTATGCTACTTTCATTGCAGATTTTACCTGACAGACTAATTAATAAGCATTTTTAGAGTTTGTAGAATGCAATTCTTTACTTACTAAATTAATAATTTCCCTTAAATTAAGGTTGAAATAATCTAGTGAAACTAATTTTGTTCCTGTGACACAACGCCCAACCTCCACGTCCTTCAAGTTATGGATATCATAATGTAAACTTTTTTGACACGGTAGTTTAATCCTAATCAATAGTAAACATGAAGTATAAGAGTTTCTTGCAAACTCTGTTATATACATCTCTCTGCCTAGTTTAAGAGCTTTCAACCCTTTCCGTAATCTTTTAAATTTATCTACCTAGCAGTCATATTAAAACCCACTGAAAAGTGGGAACTATTTTAAATTATGCCGAAATAATTTTCTTCCATATTTCCTTTAAGACGAAACATTTGGCGTGTGCATAATTATTCGGGCTTGAAAAGAGACCTAATTGTTTTTTTTGCGCGCCTTTTTCACATTAAATCTCCATTCTCCTTGAGACCATAAAATTCAAATTCGCCAAAACCTTGCACTTTGGCTGAGCGGCGTATTCAGGTTAGATAATAAAACTCTAAATGCTTTTATTGGATATCCAAGACTAACCGGAAAATCGATAAATTTATCCTAGCAAATACGAGACAAGAGAGTCTTTTCATGTTTGTTAATATCCTGCGGTTAAAATAATTACCAAAGCAAAATCAGCACTTCCCATTGATTATTTGTTCTTTATGTTTGTAAAGTCTTTCTCAGAACCATGCTATTACATATTAGGAAATTCGTTTATCGATCTTATTAAGATTTTAAAATAATTGCCATGAAAGGAAACCAGGAGAGACAATCCCTAGTCTCACAGCCTAAAATGTATAATGATTTGAGTATTGTCACTATAAGTGACGCATTTTGTTTGTTTGAAACACCAATCTTGCTGTACAATGATTCGTTCTAATATTTAACTCAAAACAATACTAGTACCAAATAAGACACTGAGAGCTTGTGAATCGCAGTACTGTGCGAATATGGTAACCAACATTGAAGCCGAACCATTCATTCGTATTAATTTATATTTAAAAAATCTCAACGAATGCGATGAATATTAAAGTTTGTATTAGTAAATTTCAGTGAAAAAATGCTTTGCTAAATTATTCCGCTTCGTCTCGTTGACTTTAAGAAGCTGCAAATGGATCAAAGGGCTACGTCAAGAGGTTATTGATTTTGTTAAAATGTACTCACCCAGAATACTGGTTAGGATATCATAAAACATTGTGCCAGGATTCAACTCATTAGTGGAAAGTGCTTAAACTCATCATTCAACAATCTAATGGGAATAAGCCGTTTGACATTTGGACTTCTGTCATAATCAAATTTTGTTATACTTCCATGGTCCTCCTCCGTCTTATCTACTTGAAGTATTCCAGTAGGGAGCAAAGACAAGAATTTGTTAACTTCCTAACACCAAGAAGCTACTTTCACATGAGAAAAAACGTCTGGCTATAGTCATCATATATAATTAAATAATTTAAAAATAACGTCACGTTATTGCATATAAGTAACAAATTAACTAACGCTGTCACTAAATGTTATTCATAAATCCTTCCTGATATTTACACCACTGAATATTTAAACAAAGAAGCCTCAAATTCCATTATCGCCAAATTCAAATTAAATGTTTCAACAAAAAGTTGAGAATTAGAGGATTATCCAAATTTGAAAACTTAATCGTGTTGTAACTTCTTGCAACAAAGAGTGTTAACCGAAATGACCTCATTAAGAACCACTTATCTGACATTTTCCGTTTAAACACAAAAGTTAATTTGTGCACTAATTCAAACCCATTATAGCAGGCGTTTAGAAGCTTTAAGTGAATAGCGCGGACCCAGTGCGCAAATTTTAGCTTGACTAACCACGCATGAAGAAGAGTAATACCGAGAATCTACCTTCCCCTCAAACCGACGGATTCCAAACTGCAATTTACGAGTCCTCACAAGCTGTTAACCGACTCGAGCTTTAGAGGCGTAAATGGGGACTTTAAAGCTATTAAAAGAAGATGATGCCCAGCACAATATCAGTAATTCCTTAATAAATCGTTCTTATTAATTCTCTTATCTGTTAATTCAGGCATATGAACGACTTATCTGCATGAATTCATGTTAATTCAAAATACTCTTATTCAGATCTGCATGCATTCTATCGATTAATATTAAGCCTAAACCAAACTCCCTAATGAAAAATGAAATATTTGCGTAACTTACAATGGATTAGAGGTATTCCAATAAACCAAATGCATTTTCCTAGCATCAGAGAGAATAAATCCGGGATTAAGGAGGACTGTAGGGAGAAGAATAATTCCTAAGGCCGCGAAACCGAAATCGTGAGTTAGCACGAATTTTCGATGATAACAAAACATTATACAGCAACAGGGACAGTGAAATCAAGTCAATAGGAGGGAGGATGCAATTTTTAATGCCATAAAAATTGAATGTAAGGTGAAGTAAGCATAGTCATGGTTCCTGGCACAAGATGGAGGGAGTGAGAGAGGGGGGGAGAGAGAGAGGATAACTATCTTCTGTTTTCACTGCCCAGCTGTAAAACAGCTGTGTATGTATAGATGTGTCTAATCCACTCGCCTTATAGAATGGCAGTGGGGGATAGCGTGACGTGAGTCGTGGGCGAAGCAACTCGTTTCTGTATGGGCAGTAGGTACACAGTGGCAATAACACACAAATGTCATCACCTACCAATGGGCTTGCGAATGAGGATTTGGGCAAATTCTATTGGCTGAAGCAGCTCCCGCCGAAGACAAGTAGTCAGCTGGGCGTTGTTCTTTCGAACGAGTCAGTACGATATGATGTTGATGATGGCGCCGGAAAATAAATAATTCATTGTGTGCGTGTGTATTTTGTGTGCTAAAGTGCGCAAATTTTAACAGTGAACCGATGGTAGGTATTGGATTTATTTCATAGTTATTATCGGAATTGAAAAATAAACTATGGAAACATTATTTGTGTCTCGTCGATTTATTCCTACTTTAATGATTCTTGTGTCGATTTGAAGTGTGAATTTCAGGTTGATGTCAAATTAGATTAATATGGGCAATAGAAGTCGTGCGCCTTTTGCACATTTAATTTCGTCCAATATGGTTGGTCGATTCGATCAGTAATTAAATTCAATTTTATTTCGTGAGAGGGAAACGAAGAATATACGCTGTCATGTTCTAATTTTTCAAAATTACATCATCTACATATATTTCCTTATTAGGAATTTTTATAGAAGTAAGTGTCAATTATTCATCCTGTCAAATAGCGTTTCTTGTCATCTACGCTGATAGAAGTTATTATTACAGGAATTTAGTGCAATGATGGCAATCAAACGTTCGAGTTCATTAAAGGACGCGTTACTTTTACCAATGGGCAGTTCTCATGGCGACAGACTATATTCTTCTGTCACCACCTAATTACTCAGACAAACCGGCAGTCAAACACTAATTGAGTTACTGCGTCATAGCAGACACGTCACGTGACAACTTTTCCAAATTTTGAAAATGACCTTAATAAGTGAAGGTGGGAAAATAGATTTAAAACTTTTTTAAAATACTAAACGTAAAGGACAACTATTAATTAGATTTGATTTTACTTATAAAGCATAATTCAGTTTTATAAGTTTATATAAGAAGAACTGTAAGTCTAAAATAAAAATTTATTTATTTATTTTTATCAAATGGCAGGCGTCTTGATGGTTATCATTAGCCCTTTAGTTGACTTCAGGCTTCACAGAGGGGAAGGAACATCAAATTGAAAAAAAAATCGAGAGGGGGGGGGGAACAGAAGAGTGTTTCAAAGATGTAAGAGACAAACACAAAGGTAGAACAATGGTGAGGTAAGTACTGTGAAAATAGTCGAATATGGCATGGAGTAAGGTGATGGTAGTTTAAAGTGAGAAGTCAACTTCCAGTTAATAGACTTTTTTTGCCGTATGAATATACGTTGTCCAGGGTGCACCACGTGGAGGTAAATCTATCGCACACCCCCTAAAATAAAAATGAATATTGGTGATTT